GATTTTCCATAGAGAAATCAAAATTTGCTTTCACAAGAAAAGTAGACATTTTAGAGTAAAATCCTGAAAAATCTCGAGGGTGACTTTTTTTTAGTTTACAAAAATAGTTAAATTTTCATTCAACCTCGTTTTGTTAATTCACACCAGGCAAAAGTTCATTTCCATTTTTAATGGGACAGACTATAGTCAGTAATTGTAAAGTATTGAATATCTTTATATTTTATTTTGTAAAATGAACATAAATATAAAGTAATTCATACTACCGAGAAATTCTATTTAATTGCTGACCTTTTGTATCATTTCATGCTGATTTTTTATGACAAAAATTCAAAGACTTGTAAATTGACCTAACTGGGACAGGTTGCTTAGAAACAATAGAAAAAGTAGCCGTTGGTGACATCAGTTAAAGGAACTTAACATTATACAGTCTAAAGTAAAATGTACACATATGAGCCTGCATCCTAACTTGCCTCCTTTACAAAAATGTATAATGTTTTTCCCCGCCATATTAAGAGGTTAATACTTGGTTGCTGCTCGCCGATTATGCGATAATGGCCCGAATATGTGTATGGCCGCAGGCCCGAATGACAGTATGAACTCGAGGGCCATTATCGTATAATGGCGAACAGCAACCAAGTATTAACATCTTTATTACCTTTGTCCGAAATACGGCGCTTAGACATCGCCGCTTATCTTTGCTGTCGCCCTTTCTACGAAACGGACAGTTGTGAATGTAAACAAATATCTGTCATAAAGTTTAACTAGAAACATGATAGAAACATGATAGATTTAACACAAAATAAACATGAGAAAATTAATTTTGTTTTATTGTTGTTTTTATCGATAAATACAGTATTCTGTGCATTTTAAATGAGAACAACATTTAGATCTAGTGTTAGTTTTTATGAACTTTTGTGTTTTTAAGACTGATGTCTCTAAAGCCGTCTAAATGCCACCGATCCGTTTGATCCAATCTTTTTTCTACTGTCAATCTGAAATCATTTTTGCAATTTCTTAGGGTCATGTTTTGTCTTGAGTTTAAAATCTTTAATTTTAAGCTTTGCTGATTGCGATTAATTATGTCCTTTTTAGAAACTTTAAAATATTTTGTGTGCAAGTGGCTGCAATTCATTCAACCAGTTCAGCAGCCATCTTGAACGTCACTGAGAGTTGATAACGTCATTTTGCACGTTTGCTCATTCACTCGCCCATTATGGAAAAATAATGCCGAGTAGCAAGGCGGCCGAAATTTCATAATGACCTAGATCTTGCCATAATGGTCTTGAAATACCCTAAATTTTGTTACTATATATAGTAACATTTAGTGGTTAATACTTGGATGTTGCTCGCCATTATGCGATAATGGCCCGAAGATGTGCATAATGGCCTAAGGGCCGTAGGCCCGAAGGAAATTATGAACTCGAGGGCCATTATCGCATAATGGCGGGCGGCAACCAAGTATTAACGTCTTTAATACCTATGTCCGAAATACGGCGTTTAGACATCGCCGATAATCTTGGTTGTCGCCCTTTTTAAGAAACGAACAGTTGTCGATGTAAACAAATACCTGTCATGTACAGTTTAACCATCCGATTAACTTGGAAAACATGACAACACAAAATAAATATAAGAAAATGTTGTTTTATTGTTGATTTTTTCCGATAAATACAGTATCCTTCTCTTTACATTTTTGTGAGAATTACATTTAGATCAAATGCCAGTTATTTCTGAAGTTTTGTTGCCTTCAATTTTGAACGGTTTCTGAGACCCGATGTCTAAGTCTAAATGTCACCGATCCCGATCTCTTTCCTACTGTCAATCTGAAAAATCATTTTTAGAATTTCTTAGGTCATGGTATTGTCTTGCGTTAATAATCTTTAAATGTTACGCTTTGCTTATTGTGATTAATAATGCCATTTAAAAACTTCAAAATATTTTGTGTGCAAGTGACTACGTATAACAGTTCATTCAACGTCAGCAGCCATCTTGAAAAGTCACTGAAAGTTGATGACGTCATTCTGAACGTGCGCTCATTCACTCGCCCATTATGAAAAAATAATGCCTAGTAGCAAGGCGGCCGAAATTGCATAATGACCTAGATTTTGTTATAATGGCCCTGAAATACCCTATATTTTGTTACGTTATATAGTAACATAGGTATTAAGCTTTATAACTCTGTCTAAAGACACACAAGCATAACCAATGACTCTATGTTTAAATTCATTTCTACCTGTTATTAAAGTTTTGGTTTCATATCTCACTATTTATAATATCATAAATTGCGTTTTTAAATTGGTTGGAAATTCCATTCTTTAATTAGAATGGAAAACCCATCTATTTTTATATAATTTGTTTCCTAATTTAAATTCCTGATTTATATATTTATACAGGTTAATTACACGTCCAAATAAACACTTAAGGTATTAGCACCCTAATGCATTACCTCCGCTTTGAAGAGTATTCAAATAGGCTAGAACTACTGTTAACTACATTGAAAATGAGGGCCATGGGTTCAATCCCCAGAAGGGTCAACTTTTTTTTTTCTTTCTTTTTTTCTTTTAACATTATTTATGTACCTCTCATGTCCCATTTGGGAAAGAAAAAAGTGTTTAATTTTGATTTTTTAATTTAATATAGTATTTATTGGCTAAAATTAATGCTAAATCTAGTATAAATATGGTACCTGATATTTTCAAAGTGAAATATAATCAAAACTAGACGGTAAAAGTATTTCATATTTTAACAAGATCAACCAATATACTTTTTTTAAAAAATTTAGGGAAACTTTGAAAAACAGGCACTCATTTGGGTAAATTTTTTAAGATTTTTTTTAATTAGGCTCCCTAAGTAGAAAAATGGTCAGACACGTGGTAAAAATGGGTGGGGTAGGGTAACATTTTTATACAGATTTCATAAATTTTAAGTAGAAACCATAATTTTGCTTATTTGGATTCTTAGCTGAATGGTGCTGTTTGTTTCTTACCAAAAATTAATGGGAAAACATTTTTCATTAGAATGTTATTGCAGATTATTTAAAGGTTCCTACTTTCTAAAAAGGGCCCTCATGACATCCTAGCTTGAGTTCAGAAAAGTGGCCATAACTTGATTTCCGTACGGTAAACTTTGTTCAAATTTTGCATACAGGTGTACTTTAAGGTATACATCTGACTTATGATGTCAATTTTTTAGTTCTTGATAGTGCCCATTAGGGTCCTAATACCTTAAATACATGTTACTATCATTCATAATATTCGTGTTTATATTCATCAAAATACTTCTTTGAAGAAAAATTATTTAAATGCATTACACCACACGAATAATTCTAAATAATGTAAAAGGGGAGATATCTTGTTACAGACTTTGGTAGTTTCAATTTTTTTTTAGATATTTAATTCATAGCTCTCATATCCTAACATTCAAAACCTCAATACTTTTACGTAAAAATTCTTTTCAAAATACTCGGTATCTATTTTTACAAAAGTTTCGGTTTCGTATTGTGCTATTCATATCATTGGGAAAAATCTGATTCACAGTTCAGTCAGTATCTACATTTGGGAAACCAATCAATTTTAAATGACAGACGAACTAGGTTATATTCAATAACGTTATCTTGCGGGTTTCATATTCTCTATAGCTATCGTTGTGCAAATAATATTATGTCATGTTCTTTCTAGAACTGTATTATTAGACACACTTCCGCTGACATCTTTGACATTTAAGCTGAAATAAAATCATCATAATAAAGTGTTTGTGATTATAATTATCTACATGTTTCACATTTTGCTTAAGTCCAGACAAGAAATACTAACATTTATCTGAGAAGGAGCAGCATGACTGTTACGGAATGGCATACATGTGACTGACTATGAAGTCGAGGTCTAACAACCGAGAAAAACGATCTAAAAGCGCGGTATCTACTGGTCGAACGTTTCTTAAAAATTGTTAGGTTTTGGCTTGATGGTCTCAAATCGAGATAAGAATAGCACAAAAACTACCATTTTCAATTTCATTTCTCAGTATATTTCTTAATTATCTTTTAAATCTGTTTCTGTTTTAAATGGTTAAGCTGATCTGTGCAATAAATTCAAATTCTATGGTATTAGGCTTTTGGATCTCAGTGGAGATACTTTTAGCATATGTTTGTATGTTTCATATTTAACAAACATGTTAACCCATTTACATTGTACTGCGGGGGATAGCATTGTCGGCTACAGGAAAACAACGCACTAAAAGAAAATTAGATCAAAAACCATTAAAGATTAAGTACAACGCTATCATTGAGTTTGAAAAGGGTCAGAAATCAAAAACTGAAATCGCTAAAATGTTCGATGTGCCGAAAAATACATTGTCAGGGTGGATAAAAAAAGCTGAGACAATTAAAGAAGGGTTAACCAAATATGGACCAAAACGTCGAAATATGAGACAAGTAGATTAAATGTCCATATGAAAGAGTTATAATGTTCTTAAAATAAAGATTTCTATATGAGTTCTAAGAAAGCATTATGATTAATTCATGCAACATGAAAAAAAATCCATTTCGCATTAATGCATAAAATATATGTTTTTTAACTTAATAACGCTATACATGTACGTTTATGCTTAAATTTTAATTATTACTCATTCTTTTTCCAGGGATGCTACGAAGAATTAGAGATCGCGCTGTTACGATGGTTCAAACAAGCTCGTGACCAAGACATCGCCATTAGTAGCCAGATTCTTTTAGAGAAGTCTAAATTTTGCGCAGAACAGTTGGGAATTGAAGAATTTAAACAGTCAACTGGATGGTTAGATCTTTTCAAAGAAAGACACGGAATAACATTTAAAACAATATGTGGTGGAGCTAAATCGGTAGATCGTAACTCGACAAATATGGACGCCTGGTTTGGACATCGAGGAAATATTCTTCTATGAACATTTACAACGCCGACGAATTCAAAAATGTCAGTTGTCAGGGTGGAAAGAGAAGTAAAGAACGTTTAACTGTACTTGTGTGCTCCAATATGTCTGGTGATGATAAGGTTCCGTTGTTAGTGATAGGAAAGTCAGGGAATGCCACGTGTTTCAAGAATGTAAAGACATTACCCGTAGAATACAAAAATAACACAAAAGCATGGATGACAGGGGAACTATTCACATCCTGGTTAATGAAACTTGATAAACAATTTCATCGTCAAAACAGAAAAATGGCTATGGTGATTGATAATTGTCCGGCGCATCCGAAAATAAAAGGAATCAAATCTATTGGACTTGTGTTTGTACCACCAAATACCACCAGTCATACACAACTTATGGATCAAGGAATTATCAAAAACTTAAAAGTACATTACCGTCGTCAAAAATCAACTGGAAGCTATTGATAATCGCGTGGATTTAGTGTTGAATGTGTTGGACGCGTTACGTCTTTTAAGACAATCATGGTCAATGGTTACTGCCCAAACAATCAGTAACTGCTACAGACACGCTTCACATCGCTTCTTCCATCAGTACCTTTTTCTGGAACAAAATTCTAACTCTGAAGTAAAATGATTGTTTCAAAAAACCTAGACTGTAATTTTAAACTTTTTTCCTATATGACTCAATGTCAAAAAGTGACCCGAGGGCGGGCAAATTTTATTATAATTATTATTCTTTTGACAGACTACATTCTATTTTTAATCATGCTGATCCGTTATGCTTCATGACAGATAATTTGTCAGGAATTGTCATTATTCTGAACGAGCTTCTTGCTAGGACTTGAACCTAGAATTCTTACACCAGTAAGCGTGTTGTCCTTTACACTACAAGAAGTTGACCAGCGGCTACTGACAATTCAATCCATTTTCTCCAATACATGAAATAACAAGTATTACATAACTTTTACTTTCACCTGTGTGTTTGTTAGAGTAGTCCTGACTCGTTTTTGGATTTCAAACAGATGAAAGTTTCATCTTTTATAGCTAAGGTAAGATAAGATAAGATTTGTACAATGCCAAAATTGCTCTGAATAGCATTTAAAGGTAAAAGTACATGAATGTTAAATCTGTCACAATAATATTAATATTCTTAAAAAAATCAGTGCACTAACAATGCTTTATCATGTTAATTTTTATTCGTGCCCCATGTCTAATTCCAATACGTATTTTTGTTTCAAATATAAAAATAAATAAGTTAATATGCATGACAAAATATTTAATTTATCTGATGTGTAAGATGTTTTGTCGACCCGTTACCTGCCTGAACTGTTAGTGATTAGGCATTGTCACATATAGAGAGCCAGAGCAGCCTCTGTCACATATAAAGAGCCGGATCAGACTGACAGAGCTCAGTGTGTTTCTGGCTGTTTTTTCTTAATTTTGTTATTATAAGGGTTAAGAAATAAACTTATTCAAAGTATCAAATGATGGTATATATTGTATGTGTATATATTTACCCTTTTCTTAACCATGTTTAAGCCCATGGCAATAGTCTATGACTTTTACTGATATTTCGTAGACTCAGAAATCCCCATAAAATTTGCCAATTTCTGCAAGCAAGATCAGTCCCCTACAGACTTACTTTTCAGGTTGGGTGATCTCCCATTTAACGAATGCGCAGACATTTATAGGCCCCAACTGGTTATCCCCTTTAATTTACCACGTTATATGTATGATCGGAGCAATTTTTGAAATAAATGCTATCTTGATTTTCATTATTTCTAATATCGATATTGGTGCTGGCTCGAGCTGCACATTTTCCTTTTAAATGAAAGTACATATATATCCGGGAGCTAGCTTTCAGTTAAATGATAGCTCGAAACTCATTCGCTTGATTAAATTTGAATTTTGATCCCTCAGCTGTTTTTTCTTGACAAAAATAAACATGAAAACTACAAAAGAAAAAAACTAAAACACATATTGATGGTAGGAGTTATCACTATTGTGCACTGCACAACTCCTCCATGAGATATATCTATAATCAGCTTTCAAATTGATATCCAAACTCTTTTCGAATTATGATTAGGACATAATTCAAGCAAGGAAAATCTCCAAGTGCAATAAATCAAAACTTAAGATGAGAAAAAATTTAGCAATCGTTGCGTTGCATTCTTCCCTAATAAGATCTATTCACATAATTATAAAGTTTCAAGTTTATATTTCAAACACATTCTGAACAAAATTGAAATATCTGGAAAAAAGTGATCCCTCGGAAGCATTAAAAACAGCAAACTTACATAAAAATTGCAGACTCGGTTTGATTGAGTGTGTACATGAGGAATAATGATACATCGGCCTATAAAGCCGACATCTCAAATACCGTTAGAGACCAGAGTTAATCTCCGTACTAAAGGACTTTTTCTGGAGTTTTCATATAGACATATAGGCAAAATTAAAACTGTTCTATAGAATTTCTTTAAACTTGGCATGTTGTTAGAATATGATAACAGAAACATTTTAAGCAAAAAATAAAATTGGGTCACCATTCTCATTTTTGAGTTATCTGCCCCTGAATCAGAATTTTCTACTTATTTGAGGTCATTTAAAGGGCAGATAACTTAAACATACGTACATGAATTCTTGTTTTTAATTCAGGATAATACTTTTCTTTTAATTGTTGAATACAGTACATAATTACATGCATAACCTTATATCGTTTCTGTTATATTTTTTTTCACTGAAAATAAAGGTATTTTAAATTCATGAAAAATAGGCTAATTTTTAAGAAAAAATGCACAGGTATAGAGAAGAAGTTGACATTTTGCATATTGACTAAGACGAAGGTATGCTTTATGAAAATACGAAGAAAAAAGTATTGTTTCGCTTCATTGTAAATTATCTGCCTTTGAATTTTACGAAAAAGTCCAATTCAAGGGCAGATAACTCGAAAATTAGAACGGGGTCTCCAAATTATTTTTCGTTTCAAATGCTTCTCTTATCATATTCTAACAACATGTCAAGTTTAAAGAACTTCTATTGAACAGTTTTAATTTTGCCTATATGTCTATATGAAAACTCCAGAAAACGATAAAAGTTTAACGAATGAATAACACCAAAAAAAATGAGTTGTAACCATATAAGTGTCCAGATTTTATCCCGGAAGGACGTCCAGTTTTCATTTGTGAACCACAGCTATCTATGGAACGCCATAATTACCTTTTGTGCACATGTATGTTTTTAATTGTCAATACGACATGTTAACTGCTCCGTTGTTCAGCCATTAGGTAAAATCGTTAAAAGAGCACTCAAAACATCACATTAAAATACAACATGATGAAATGGTATTTAATAACATTTTAACATGTTATCTTTACAAGTTTACACCCTTTATTGACAATTTCATTATCAAGACGCATTAATAAAAAGCCAGTTGACGATCTTACTTAGATTTATGTAGATGTTAATTTGACAAATAAACAATAGAAGAAGTACTTATTATTTTTGCCAATTTCACATGCCACTCAGACATATTCAAACGGTAATTTGACAACTTGATACTGAAAGAAATTAATCAAATAATATACTATGAAAATACACACGTTTAGTTGACAATTTACAGGTCACTAGGACGAAATCAGATGGCAGATGGAATAGTCAACAGTGTGGTTTGAAAATCTAACAAGATTTTTTTTTTTAAAGTTCAGTTACGATTGCTTAATAGTAGACAATTCCATAAGAAACACAGACGATATCAAAATATAAGGCAATTCAGCATTATACTTTAGCAGTCTAAAATAATAATTCAAAAAAGTTTTTAAAAGCGTAATCAAAGCCAATATACTAGTTTAATAATTCGGCTTTATTGTTTCATAATTTAATATAAGAATCAAGAAGTGATAATGTAATAGGATACGTAGACAAATCTCATTGAAAATATGACATTTAATCAGTTTGGGTCAAGAACGATTAATAATTAGACATATATGGCGTTCCATACTATCATTGTGACATGCACATTCATTTGTCAAGACGTAAAACTTAAGTAATAGAGTGTTTGAAACGAGCAATGAATAGTTTTAAGGTAATGTATTAATATGTTATTAACATTGATATTGAATTTACACAATCACAAAGCTTAGAATTATTAATTATAATGTCATTGAAATTGTAAAATTTTGAAATAATGCAAGTTGATATAAAAACCATGTTTATTTATGCATTTCATAATAATATTTTTATCTTAACATTTGTATACACTTTTCAAGTGTAAGAAGTAATTACTTCTTACAAACAGATACAAATATGGACCTTTTAGCCGGTTGATGTGATTTGTTAGATAAATTCTTTTTTTTTCCAATACATATCATAACAACATCATACTGATTTTTTCCACAAACGTAACGTCTTAACCAAATAGTGAAAGAAATTTAAAAGCTTTTAATAGAAAAAAGTAATATATATCATTTTTTGCACAGGTAAAGGTGTGTTGACTTGAACAATTGAGGTAATTTGTTTCTTATCATATCAATGGCAGTTGCTGAAAAATTAAAGTAAACAGCACCTAATATTATACTTTAACAACGTCTTGATCGCGGGAAACCGTTTAGGTAAGCTACATTTTATATTTGCTCAATGTATTTATAGTTTGAAAAAAAATATCATTTAAAAATAGGAAAAGATGCATGTTGACCTATTTCAGTTTTCTAAATTTATAACATTCTATATTTAGTCAAAGATGTGTCAGGTGACATTTTGTTGTATATTGCGCTATGACTTAATATCTAAAATTAGATTTAATATGTGGAATTTCAAAATCTTAAATCTTACCTTTATTATAATCCTTCTGTATTTTTATTGTTATTCATAACATTTTCTTAATTATCACTTTTTCATTCACTGGCGCTCGACATATTTACTACCAATAAACCTTAATATTTGCTTACAAACTATAATAAAATATTATAAAAATAAAAAAGATATTTCAAGCATAGTTTTTAATTAGATATATTTCAAGTGTGTTAAGCACTTGTAGTGTCGTTGCTATTGAACTACATTTTATTCTTAAATTCACTTTAATTCCTTATCCCTTGTGCTGAAATTGTATGACGATTATGATTATTTCCAGTTTTCGAACTTCGTATTTTTCTCGACATAGCTATTTATAGTATCACGTATTTACCATATCAGCTAAAAATAGATAAAATCATTATGAACTGTGTATGACCTTACAAATTAATAAATTAAATAGAAATATATAAATGAAAAAAATATGTGTTTACTATTTCCAATGCATATACTTGTCTGTCATAGGGGTACGGTAAATATATACGGTACAGGTCGCGATTTTTTTCTGTCGATCTGAAAATGATTTGATATTTTTTTCACTTATGATTCTTTTAATGCTAAATAAAATGAGAACAGCAAAACATATGCTTCAACTGTAAAAGAAAAATGCGCGATTTGCT